CTTTTTAACTAGCCTCTTATCCCTTAGCCCAGTTCTTACTACGTATAATTTACTGTATAAATGGGTCTGACATTTTTCTATTGCCATTCCTGTTTCCAGCGAAATTAAGTGGAACTAAAATGAAAGCGTTCAGGTTCATCTCCCCGCTCCACTTAGTCGCATCCGCTCCCATATGCCTCCCTCTTCAGGAGCAATCTCGGTTCTCCACACCACACCCCTACACACACACACTCCCAAGGTGCAAAGCTCACGCCCTGCCGCGCTGCACTACGGAATTTGTAGTTCCACCCTCGCCGTTCCCCACTCTCTTCTTACCTTAAGAAACTTCCTTTCCCGGCGGGCTCCGCGATTCCATCCTCCTGTTCTTTATCTCCCTCCTTCCACCTCTCACTTTTCAGTCGAGTAGTCTGGCAGCTGAATGTTGGTGTACTGATCGCTGAACTGCGGGACTCCCGAGAGCCATGCCAGAGATAGTGGATTCGTGCTCCTTGGCCTCTCCGGCTTCTGTCTGCCAGACCAAGCATCTGCACTTGCGCTGCAGCGTTGACTTTACTCGCCAAGCGCTGACCGGGACCGCGGCGCTGACGATCCAGTCTCAGGAAGACAATCTGCGGAGCCTGGTACGGTGGGACGAGCGCCCAGTGCCCGCCTCTTCCCCTGCCATCAGCCTCTCGCCCCTCACCCTGCTGCAGCCCCTTCCCAGCCCCACGTCCCCGTCTGCTCCCGCGTGCCTCGGTGCTCTGCAGCCTCAACTCTTACTCTGCCCCTCCTCCTTAGCCCCCACTCATTTCTCAGCGCCCTCTTCTTCAGCCCCGCTCCCTCTATTACGCCCCCCCCTCACCCTACTTACGTGTCTGCATCCTTTCCCCCACCAGCTACGTGTACTTAAGGGTCTCCCTGCTTCCTCCCAAGCTCCCTCCTCCAGTCCCTGGGCACATCCTAGTGCCACATCCACGCCGCGTTCCTCACCCAACTCTCAGGTTTCATTTTCGTACGAATCCCCTCCACCCCCACAATCCTAGTTCCCAGCGATAATTCCCCCCTGTGGCCGCCCCCATTTCCTCGTCCGGGAGCCCTGAGCTCCCTCCGCAGGCCCAAGAGTTCGTCCAGCTCCCAGCACACCTCCTTCAGGCCACACTCTCATCTAAGTCTCGGGCCTAATGTCCTGCAGATCCCTGATCCCACTCTTCCGTCCCAGGCACCTTTATTTCAACCGGAAAATCTGCAGGATACGACCGATCGCCGTCTTCCCTCAGCCTGTCCGCTAGTTGTTCTCAAACCCTTTAGGATTCCCAGCACCATACTCCCCTCTCCGCCCTGCCTTGGTACTTCCAGCCTCCGCTAACTCTAGATGCAGCTTTTTCTCCAGGGTCATGGTCCTTCCTACCTTTGATTCTTTCTTATCACCCTTCTCATCTAAATGATTTAAGGACGGGTGGGCCATTCAAGCTTTATAGGGATGTCGCAATACAAATGTATTAGTCGCTGGTTCCAAGGAGCAAGTAATTACTGTGCTTCTTAGAAAAGATATACTTCTACAAGTTCTGGAATTTTATTAAATTACTTTATCTGTATGACAAAACCTGTTTACAGCGTTCTTACTCAAATTGCCTGATAGTAATTGGGTTGTACCTTTCACCTGAAGAATTTCACAGGTGAGCATTTTAGAACTAAGAGGAACCAGAAAAAACCAGCCACAGTGTATTTTGCAAAAAGTAATATGATATCTACTAAAGTTGAAATAAGAATTTGTACTTTTCATGCTTTTTCCTACTTGTGTAAAAGGCCTGTATTTTGAGTTCATTAATATGAACGAATATAGCGCATTACTCTTTTTCTTTTCACATTTTGCTAGACTAATTCTGATTTGAAAACTAGGTTGACTCCTCTATGTATTGATATGTAGTGACCAAAAGCACCATAAGGAAGAAGCTAAAATGTCAGTATTATAAGCAGGAAGGTTCACTATTTATTTGTAGGTTGTACTTGGGTCTTCTTGAATATCATGTTAGTTTTAAGATTAACCACTGTTCCATGAGTAAGCAAGAGTCAGGAGGCTTAAATTTGAAAAGAATGGCCCTTCAGTGTTCCAGTCTAAAAACCTGGAGATCGTTTTTATATTCCCCAAATCTTTCCAAAGAGGAAAGATATTTAAATTATGATTTCTGGTTGGCATGTCTGTCTAGTGAATTAGAGCCTGGAGTTATAATAATGTTAGATTTTATATAAGGAAGGCTAGTTGTAGTACAATTGTTTGCTACTTTATAACAATAATCTGAGACCAAGAGTTTGGTTTTATTTGAAGCAAGCATGTTTCTTTCCACCTCTAGATTATGGACTCTTGAAAGGAGGGATGGTGTTTCGTGTCTCAGTATATCTCAGGTTCTTAGTATATAGCACCTAGCATGTAAAGAACACACAAAAGTGTGATGAATTAATGGATGAATTCAGTTAGAAAGCAGTACCTAAGCTTAACATGGGTTGCACTGATAATACTGCTAAGTGTATCTTGAAGGTGAGATGGTATCATACTTCATCACCACCCATGGAGAGGACCCAGTGCCAGTGCTGGCTGAGGACATTATGTGTTCTCCCGTTCTTGTCCATGATCCTGGTGAATGCTGAAGGAGCTCTAAAATTAATTCCCAGCTCCCCTAAAAATCCTTTTAAAGCTTTTTATTTGCATTGAAGTGTAGTACTCATTTGTAATAACTTTCAAGCATTTGTTTCTTTTATTGAAATTTTCAACTTTTTAGATGTTATTTCAATTGGTGGCTCAAAAGAGGTTTTAATGTCTTGGCGAAGATCATAAGTAGCAGAAGTTAGGAGTTGAACACAGATCTTTCTGACTGCACCCCCAGTCTTCACTAAGTAAATGGCTCAGCTGGGAATCAAATCAAGGTGGTTTTTTTTGTTTCAGTTTTGGTTTTGACGCATAACCCCATGGTTTTTTTCATTATAGCACCCTGCAAGTAACAACTAGAAAAATGTAAATAAAGACATAATAATGAGGCATAACACTTTTTTATTTAAACCCTGCTTTGTTGTAGAAAGAATTTGACACTGCTGAAAACAACATATGCAGTAGGATACGATTAAAAAATAATTAAAGAATTTGTAGGAAGACAGAATCAGGATAGGAGAAGCAATATACATGGTGGAAAGCCCTAGACACAAAACCAGAAGTGGGCCCCAGATTGACATGGAACTTCCCAGCAGCTTATGCAAAACGGGCATCAGTTATATAGTCCATGGCAACTGGCCAGCTGCTTAGGGTGTTATTCAAAGAGGATACTGTGAGGTATGGTAAATTATATGTTCAGTAACAGCCTACCATTAGTAGGACTGTTTCTTGTTACTACATATGGGTATCTTAGTCTTACACATAGTTGGTGCTTAATAAGTATTTGTTGAAAAATACTAATTCCAACTTGTCAACTATCCAGTTTCTTTTGTTTTTCTTTCTTGTTACTATTTTTGATCACTGTTTAGTAACATTTATCAGTGAAACTTGAAGGGGAATTCTTAATTTGGAAACGATAGCTGAGGCTTGGGACTTGAGATATACAGCGTAAACATTGCATTTTCTGTTTCTCTTGGTCCAGGACTTGCTTCATGTATTGACACCTACTATTTTTCAGACCCTGGGAATGAAAACCTAGTAATATTCTCTGTTTTTAAACAACTCTTAGCCGGTTCGATTCCCGGGCGGAGCTGAGCTGCCACTGAGCTGCCAACAGTGGCAGGATGGCTAAAAAAAAAAAAAAAAAAGAACTCTTAGTGTAGTGGAGAAAACAAATTATAAGACAGCACAGTAAGTACTGTAGGAGAGAATTGGGCCAACTGCTAAAACAAGTACAGAGGATATGAGAAAAATAGTCATAATAATAACCTGACTCTTCCAATTCTGAACAGATTTGAAAAGTTTAGGCCATACAGAAAATAGAATGTGTTCCACTGGGAAATGATCCAATTAATTCATCCTCATGATTATAACAGCAGTATAAACATGAGTAGTTATATACTCAGATAGTCAAATCAAGTTTTTAAAACCAATCAGATATTCAGAAATAGATACTAGAATACGAAGGGACAGAGGAGTAACTCTATTATTCTTAATAAAATAAACCTAATAAAACTATATATTCTGAATATGCAAGTGCGGGAAGATAAATCAGCTCTACTAATTTAGAGTAAGGGCAACAGTCAAGATACTCCCAAAAGAGTAACCTGAAAGAAATAATTGCCCATTAGGAGGCAAACAGATGGTACTCATAACAAATCTGGCTGCTCTTAAAAAAAAAAAAAAAACCAAGTTGGAGATTTCTTCCCAACCAAATAGTGTTGATTCTAGAAAGTTCTAGGTGAGAATCAAATTAATGATTGCCCTTGTGGCTTTTCCTGAGCTTATCACGCACAGTTAGTGAGTATAAAAGAGAGGCAATGGCATTCTGCCTCCCCATGTTTCTTGGCCTTCTAACTCCCCATGTTGTTCCAGGCCAGATTTTAAGGACAAGATGTTACAGGTAGAAAGATCAGATGGTAGGCAGTTCTAAGGCAGGGCATGACCTACCGTGGTGGTAGAAAGAAGAAAATAAAAGATGGGGACAGTGCGAAAGAAAAACTTGTTAATTGGCTATGTGGGAGTGGGAAGTGGGATCAATTGTGGATTATTTGGATGTTTCAAACCTTGAGTACCTTGAGGAGTTCTCTTAACTGAATGGAGAAACTGGGGGAGAGAGAGCTGATTTAGGAGACATAATGGTGGCTTCATTTTTAGAATTTTTAGAAGCCTGTTGAATATGAGGCGGTCTTTCCTATGGAAATGCCATGCAGGTAATTAGATCCAGCTGGAATCCTGGGAAGGGGCTGCAACTATAGAAATAGACTGAGAATCATCAGCACTGTGGCATTAGTTGACAATGTGGGCATGAGTGAGAGGTAGGAAGTGAAGACTATGGTAAGAAAATCTAAGGACCAAGGCTGGAACACTGGGACATATCCTTATTTAGGAGTTAGAGAGGGAAGAAACAGCATTAGACATGTAGGAGAGCCATTTATGGGTAAAATCAAAGAAGCCAAGGCGAGGACTTCAAACAGATGGTGTGGTCCATAAGGGCTATGAGTGGACAGAGGTCAAGTTTATTGAACAGAAAAGACCTGTCGATCAGAAGGGCTACCCTTTCACTAATAGAGAAGCTGAAGCCAGATTGAACAGCGGGAAGGAAGGAGAAATTGATGAGGAAGTGGACATAGCAGCCATAGATTGCCCTTGGAGTTTAAGAAAGGAAAGAGAAAAATGAGTAGTTACCAGAGTGAGCAGAAGGATCAAGTGAAGTTTTCAAAATAATATGGGAGGCTTGCTTAGGTTGTTGGGAAACAGTCTTATGGCAGAGGAAGGTTGACGACTCTAGAACAAGAAATTAGTTGAGACATAATGAAAGTATATGGTGTCTAGGTGTCAGTCAGAAGATTTTGGGGATCGAAAATACTCACATTTGCTGCCACTCCCTTCCTGCTCAAAGCACTTGTTCTTAATCAGCTCTCCCAATCCTCCATAGGACTATTTGGTCAAAGCTGCCATACCGAGTAGGGCTTTTCTAGATACACATCAGCAATGATTATAGTCTGTTTATTTGGCTAACAGGTACCAAGGTTTGTTTTAATTTTTGGATGTAGGAAAGTACTTCAGAGTTGGACTGTATGAATTCTAGGAAGAAACACATGGTAAGACATATTGAGGAGTTGTGATGAAAGAAACTTAAGTTATAGGTGAACTTCTTCTTCATAGCACAGAAGTTAAGTTTTAGGAGACAGAAGCAAAAGCATTTTAATTTAGATTTGACTTTTACTTAAAGCACAAAATTTATGTGACTATCCCAGAATTACTTAACAACATATATGCAAATCTTAGAACCCAAAACATTTCAGGAAGCTCGGAGTCCCAAGAGATGGGACCTATGCTAACATTTGACTCCTTTAATTTCTGTAATTTCACTCTGTTTCTTATTCTCCCTAAGCAACTAGTTCTACTCTGTAACCATTGTAGTTAACCTCTATCTAATGTTAGTTTTCTTATCAATTAAAAATATT